CTCACTAGACCATAGAGCAATCTTGGATGTGAACGACTCATGAGCTCACCTTTCCCCTAGATTATTCATGGGCCTCTGGCATGTGGGCCTTTAAAGCCCACAGGCTGGTGTCTGTTGCTCTACTCTCATTAACATGAAACAAAGAGTTTCAAAACTAAATGAAGTACATTTCAGAGCGGTAATATGATATAAACAACTCAAACAGGAATTAGTGAATTAGAGCACCCAGTGTTTGAATAGCTCGAGCTACCCAAAAGAAAAGAACTGACCTATTTCCTCCCTTTGCCCAAAGTCAGCATCTCCTGCTGTGGTGGCTCTCATCAGTAATCACCAGCAGGAGTGCGTGTCATCATTAGGAGCCACTGGTGAATTTCCCTGAGCCTGGGAGCCCGACCAGGATTACAGAAATGGGGTGGGGGGCCAGAGGGAACTTTTTGCTCAGTAAATGGATTGTGCCTGACCCACGAGTTCACCTAGGATCATCAGCTGTAGATTCTTATTTACCTTTCCAGGGAACTTGAAAAACTACTTTTGTCTGAGAGGGGAAAAACTGTAGGAGAGCCTGCAAAAGGCAGATAGGCAACAGTTCCTGGCACTGCCTGTGGACTTGCAGAGAGTCATTTGTGGGATGCAGGATCTAGATCACAGCCATGTAAGGCCTGTCTCCCTCTCTTCCCCCACGCTAGTCTGTGGAATGGAGCGTGCAAAATTAAAAAGGAAATCTGACACTCGCACTGCAACAAGCTGAACAGTTTACATTCTTGTCTGCCATGATAGCCTCCTCCCAGCTTAGTCTTTATCTGTTTGACCTTGCACAGCCAGCATCAAAAGGCTGATATTTAGTACAGTGGAATTCTGGGGTTCAGATGAGATAGCACTGTGAGGGGGAAAGAAATATGCTCACAATATGTTCCTTGAGGACTATGTAGAATGAAAAGCAGAAACACAGAATGATTGAGTTTGGAAGGGATCAGAGGAGAGTGTCCAGTCCTCCCTTTTGGTCAAGCAGGATCAGTTACAGCAGATTGCTGAGAGCCATGTCCAGTCTAGTTTTGAATGTCTCCAAGGATGGAGACTCCACAAACTTCACTGGTCAGCCTATGCCAGTGTTTGACCACCTTCACAGCAGAAGTTACTTTCATGTCCTCTGTTACCAGTTGTGACCATTGCCTCTCATCCTGTCACTTGGCACTACTGGGAAGAGTGTGATTGCATCTCCTTTTCTCCCTACCCCCATCAGGTATTGACACACTTTGGTAAGATCCTCCCTTAGCCTTCTTTTCTTCATAGCCAAATATTCCTAGCTGTCTTGGCCTCTCCTCTCAGCCTTGTCCTGTCTTCACCAAGGAATATCCTCCTGAGGTGTACTGGATCTCACTACACTGGAACACACATGAAAACCTTTCATTTAAACCTCAGCCCTATGAGAGGGTGCCAGCAACTTCCACCCATCTGATAATCCATCTTCACTGTTCATTGTCCTGACACTGGCCAGGCACTGCTGAATGAGGCCCTCACTAGTGGCATGTGAGACTGAGCTGAAAACACTTGGTATGATATGAAATTTCAGGACATAGAGACATCAGCAGAACAGGACCATATAGTGTAGTGGTTTGGTTTTGTTGTTTGTTTTTTTTTTAATGCATCATTTTTTCCACTTTGGGGTATCTGATGCAATAACCGTGTCACCGTTTTTCTCTGTCACGTCCTTCCCACATGGCAGTGGAAACATTACTTCAAACCAGTATTCTGGATGCCCTCCTTTCCCCCACACTCCCACTCCAGCTCTGCTTGCCATTAAGCTTTCTTCAGACTTAACACATGCTTATTCTTTCCATTGGCTGCAGAATTTCTGCTGTGTTCCTGTAGCTGCTCCTGCAGGTTCTAGATAAAATTTTTAAAGGGGAAAAAAGAAAAAAAAATCACCAAAAGCCTTCATCTGACTTGAGATCCTCTGGCATGATATATTCAGGCAACTACTCTCGGCTTTCTCTTGCCACAAAAGCTCTGTTCCAGGTGGGGTCTCCACTCCATGTAAGAAGACCAGGCTACCCGCACATGCTGCTTGGAGAGAGAAGCCAGTGCTTTGGTCAAAAAGAAATATGACCACAAGGAGAACTCCAGAGATGAGTCACATTCTGGGAAGGGGAAAGGCAAGAGTACAGGGAGCCTCCTTTCATTCTTGTATGCACTGAAGACATCATTGGGATGTATGCTGATCCTGATGGAAGAGTTTTTCATGCAGATGTCCCTCACAACTTTTCCTGCAAAAGAAATGGGTGATCTCTCTTCCAGTACAACTCTCCCTACCCTGTGGTAAGATATAGATCACTCCCTCTCATCACAGGGTTAGGGCATTGCAGGGCAGAGGGAGGATGAGCCTGTTTCAGAAGGAGGGGAAATTCCCTATGTAAAGTGATCTAAACCAAGATGAGGATGTTGGGAAAAACATAATTTCCATGTCAAGGTGGTAGAATTTGGCCTCCCACAGCTAGAAGACTGGTAGAAAAGAGTTTGCTCTGCTGTGCAATTTCATCCTTCAAAACCAAGTTGCAGTAACTGCTGTGGCCATTCCGGGGTCCACAGCTATAAATTATCAAAGGCAGTCACAGCCAGCCACTGCTGGGAGAAAATCAGGTGGGAGGCCAGGCCTCACAAGCAGCATTTGCAGTCAAGCAACATTAGGCCTTTCTGAAGGGCACTGTCAGCAAACAGGAGCTTAGGGAGCAAGAGCACATCCTCCTGTTAGTCTTTTTTTGGGAAGCGGCAGAGGAGGAGGAGGTCTGGTCTGCAAAGGAGCTGGTCTGACAGAATCGAGGCTGGATGCCTCTGTGCAGCAGCGTAATGGGAAAGCCCTTGGAGAGGCAGGAAATCCTGGAAGCACTCCCGTTGGAGAAGGCTTGTATGCAGTAGATCAAATGGGGACTCCCCCATGCCCGAGGCCCAGTGCAGATAGATATTAAGAGATGATGCTCCTTTGGCATATTTGCTTGTAGTTGCCATGCCCGCCCCCCGCCCCCCAAATATCTGCTTTTTCCTTTAGCCATACCAGGACAAGAGCATTTAGAAAAAGCTTCCCATAGGCTCTCCCTCACCCCTCTGTCATCCTTGACCCTGCAGAGAACCCTAAGGCTGGGTCCTGCTCTAAAGCTCAAACCCTCCTACGCTGATTTCATGTCAACTTTCCTACAGTATGGATTCCTGAGAGCTGAGCTCATTTCACACAGGCATGTGCATGTATTCCCTCTTCTGGTGACTGATACCTCCAGCATTCCCTGTAACTTCACAAATAGTTTCCATACACTTCATAACTTAGTCCAACATCTCTCATCTCCTTCCCCATAGTACAGTGAGAACACAGGGGTTTAAAAAAAAAAAAAAAAAACCAAAAAAAACCAAAGTGATAAAGAGGGTAAAAAACCAAGGGACAGGGACCAGCAGGAAACCAGAGCAGACATTACTCCTAAGGAAGTCCATGAGTAAGGAGAAGCTTGGTCTGGTGCCAGCTTGGCAGGCCATGATTCATCTATCTCCTCCCCGCTGATGTTTAATTTTGAACTTGAATACGACATCCTCCACTCCTAACCTGATGTATTTGAGTTCCTTCCACTCCAGAGGCTGAAGCTTTCCCTAGGCATGCAAGGGAATTCCATCTTAGCCTCCTCCTTGCTGCCAGTGAAGCAACCACGCTCCCCACCCCAAGTTTTCAGAGCAGAAGCTTTGACTCGTTCTAGTTGAGATTTAAAACAAACAAACAACAAAAAAAAGTCAGCACACATTTTTTACCTCTATCCCTTTCCTTTTTGAAGCTAAGATGAAAGGACTAGTGCTTTATTTGCTATTTAGCCCAGGTGGGCTGCTCTGCTAGCCTCTGCCCCATCTGCCATTGTTGCAGGTAACAGCTGTCGGGATTGCAGCTGCTCTTGTGAAAGAAGCCTTGACCTGTGCTGCAAAGAGGCACCTGGCAACGCTGAACCCATTTGTTCACAGTGAAGGAACATGCGAGCTTTTAATTGTTCATGGCAAAGGGAGCTTTTTAATGACTTCAATTAACAGAGAGAACTCCAGTTAGTTCTTGCTATACAAAAGTGTCCACAATGTCATTAAAACGAGATTTACAAGTGTCATAACTCTCAGCAGCATAGTCAACAATACAGCCAATCATTACAACTGAGCACCAAAAGAGAAGGGGGGAACATCATACCACTGAGGAATTGGATGAGAAGAAAGGAGTATGGGGGGAGAAGGTGCAGAGGAAAAAAGAAAAGTCATTTTTTCTTTTCAGTCTAGATTGATTTTATTCTACAAAATGCTACTCAGTTAAAATTGTAAAAGCAAAACCATTTTAATATGTTCTTTCTTTTGTAGCAGCAAGCTTTCTCTAAACAAGCTTTTTGTTTTAGTGCAAATACTGTAGGCCTGTAATTCAGTAAAATAACAAGAACAGAAAAGAGACAACACCAGAGAGAATGCCTCAGGGCTGAAATTCCCCAGGACTGCAAGAACAACATCAAGACCACTACGAGCAAAGAAAGGTCCCACTTCAGCAGTCATCTTTAAGAACCTCTGTGGCAGAAACTATTTCACTGCAGACAGACAGTAAAAAAGAAAACCCATGATCTAAAACTTTTGAGGAAGAAAGATAATGGTGCCCCCAAACCTTCAACAATCCTCATGGTCACCTATTAGTCACTGAGACTTCATTTCACTACTGACACCTGCTTCACAGCAGCAAAAGGTTACTGATGCTTTCCATCTGTCCCATGTGAGTGGAATCACAACCAGGCCCTTTCTGTATCTGAGGATCTTAAAGCAGACTTTAGTGACACTAGTAACTTATCTCTCTAATAAAGATGCACTATCCCTTACTGATGTTACTTTGAACTACACAGTATATCAAGATATATACAACAGTTTATCCTCTCACTGAGCAAAAACAATTGGATACTTATTTCCTACACATTTTAATATGGTTTTAACATCAAGTAACCACAAACAAGAAAGTGGAATAACCCTTTAATCATACAGGATAGGAGGGGAACAATTAAGTAAAACAGGATTGGGTTTTATTATTATCTTGTACTCTGAGATTTGTCCTGAACTCCACCTACTGTTCACAGAGGAATGATAATGCATCTTTAAAAACATATCTCTTTTTACATTTTATACAGACAACAACAAAACTCAGATTACTTTATTTAAGGAATCAAAAAAAAAAATTATTAGCCTAAAAAAAAAAAAGAAGATTGTAGAATTTTTAATGCTTTCTTTATTATATCCAAGTCTTGAACAGAAAAACAAAAGATGTAAACATGATAAATAAATAAGAAATAAATGTGTATTGTTCCCCCCACCTCTTAAAATGTTTGACTTGGCCTTCCTAACGAAAATGATCTTGTGTCATGATAATAAGGTTTCTTACATTTCAGAAGTCTGTTTTAAAATGAAAAAAAGCAACAACCAAAAGGGGAAAAAAAAAAAAAAGCAACAACCAAACACCAGGAATGTGATTTGGGTGGATGTTAAATTAATGGCGGGCAGATCTGCTGGAGCAGGCACAAGACGGCTGCCTGCCAATAAATAAGAAGAGACCAGGGAGAAGGGAGGTGTCTTAGGTTTGTTTTCATTTTTTTTTTCTTTTCATTTAGGATGAAGGCCAGGTGGATCCTACATACAGTAAGCAGCAAAATTAAAGGTTCAGATGAACTAAATAGATCATTTAAATAATAATTATAAAAACACAACAGAGAGCTACTGTCCCCAGCATGTTGGTCCCAAATCCCATCACACCACAAGTGGATTGAGACTTACCCAGTCTCCACATCTATAAGAAAGGAATATATGAAGGCAATGCCACAACTGGGAAAGGAGAAGGAGGAATGAGGGCAAAATTGGAATGGCAAACTTCACTTAGAAGCTGAATGTTTCCTTCAATGCAGCTGTTACTACTCCTCCCAGTTTGGCACTGATGAATTTAGGATGTTAGGAGAGGCTTTGTTGGGACAGTCATCAGGGGACTGACCCACTACCAGCTGAAATTCCCTGGGCCTTTTTCTATTGACTTCAACAACCCTGTCAGCACTAGGTACAACAGCTCCCACATCCCCATTACATGCAGAACATGGAGACACTACATTTAGGAATCAGCAGGGAAGGTACTCTGGAAAATAACATTTTGGGCATGGGAAGGACAATCAGTTTCCAAAGAGCACATTAGAAAACATTAAAAGACATAGGGCCAGACCAAAATGGGAGTAAAGTTGTACCTGCCTGCCAGAAACTAAACAAAAGTAAGGCTGATCCACAAAACACAAAAGGCTGGAGACCAGCAATCCCAACACAGACATTCTTTGAGGGACTTGAGGGAGAAAACAGACAGGCACAAGGTATCTGGGGCTTTTTCCAAACAGTAGAAAATAATCCTCTTTTTTGAGGAGTTTCACTTGGCTCCTGCCAGTATCACAGGTCAGGAAAGGGAAGCATCTTGTTCTGTCTCTGAGCAGGTCAATGACCAGGCAGGAGGGCAGTGGACAAGGACCAGCTGCAGCTCCTTTTGGCAATGATTCAGTGACCAGAAGCAAAGGTAGATTTTTGTTGTTTCACCAGTTAGATCTGCAGAGACACTTGACTACTTGAAATCCCTGCAAGGGGTGGATGTTCCTGATCTGACAGGAGACAGCAATCCTGGTCAGCTAGCCTCAAAAGTAGCTGCATCATTTTAAAACTTGCCCACCACTGACCCAGAACATGTCAGTGCTGTTCCCGTCAAAAATGTGTGAAGTGACATGCAGAGATGTTTTATTAACAGTTTTAGATTCTCAGTCCAGAGTGGCCCAAACAAGCATTTGGCAAAATGGAAACAGAGAAGCTGCAGTTTCACCTAAAGTGGTATCATCTATGTAAAACCCTACAAAAAGTGGATCCTTTGTGCTAACTATGGGAAATTTAAGATCTACTTTATTAGAAAGGAAGTTTTCATGTACATGTAAGGACAGTACAACTCCTTTACTAATTTTGCTTACTGTGTGAGCTCTATTTGAAACCTCTAGCACCAATATCAAAATGGAAGTGTTTAAGCAATATAGAAAAAGCCTGAATCCAATCAGCTTTATGAAGCAAAAGGATCCCGCACATACTTCTGGCAGGTTTGGTAAATACTTGGGTTAAAAATAATAGTTATAATAAAAAAGCCAAAGTCCACCTTTAGAGCCAGAATAGTGTCCCATTGAATGGATTCAAGGAATGGGCAGTGGCCAGAGTTTGAGGGAAGTTAGCCCTGCTGAGTAAAGTTCCAGTTCCACAAGACTGAAACCTATTAATTCCCAGTGGAGTTGCTGGGGACTGCAGCAGTTTTGCATCTCATATGACTAGCCCTATAATTGTATGTTGCATTTCTCCAGGTCCAGCCTGAACAAGAAACACCACAGTTTCAGCTGATTAAAAAAAAAATTATATATATATATATCTGTGTGTATGTATAAAAGAAAAAAACAAACTCACACCAAAATAAATAGCTGTCACCACAGCTTCAATAGGCAGGACCAAAGAGCTATCTCCTAAGTGGTTTAGCTGGCAAGCTGGGCAATCCTACTGTGCACAGGATCATGGTTTGCCAGTGCTTTGACATCAACAGGAATTGAGCTTGGCTCCATGTGGAAATAGATTACACACATTACTGTTTTCAGTAGTGAACATGAGCACTGTGCCCTCTCTGAGCACTTAGTAGTAGCAGTCAAGCCCACAGGCTAGAGAAGGACTCTAGACTAGGGAAAGAGCCCTTTGGTTTGATCTTTGTCTTCAGGCCAATCAACCCACAACAAAAGATCAATCTGCAAAGAAAATGTAAAGAAAAACCAGAGGCCAAAAGACCAAGGTGCAAATAATGCTAATCGATTTTCTTCAGCTGTCAATCTGTCATTTGCCAGAGCTCGTCAGAAGCTATGTTTTAGTTCAAACAGGTCAAAACTTTATTCATGCCATTCCTGCCTGGTCAGGAGCTGGGGCCTTGTGGCCTGTGCTGTGCTGGTAGATAGGTACTGCTTTGTTTCCCAACAATGAAAAAATCAGCAAGGGTACAGCCAGTTAATTTCACTGTCTCAGCTGCTGCCAGTCTCCATCCAAGATTTATAGGCATGTGGTGCCACCTCTTTTTTTTGTACCATGTTCTGCAAATATGGCCAAGGGGAGGGGAAGATTTACTAACAGGAAGAGATCAGCCTCTGAGTCAGGAGCCCTGATGGGAAGGAAGATGCAATACTCCCTAGACAGCAGGCAGCCCAGGAAAAGTAAACAACAAGCAGCAGACTTGATATCCAGCAAACTAGGGCAAAACCCTGCCAGTGACCGGTAAGTGCCAGCCCAGCAGCTTTTCTGATGCTACTCTGGCCCTGAGATACTAACTTGGTTTTTCGAGGAGCCCAAGGGGATAAATATATCCACATTTTTAAAAAAAAGGCTTCCACATGAGACTTCTGCTGTCTCTGTGCCTCAGGCTAGAGACTACAAGCTCTGCCCTTGCTGCTGAGCTCTTGGGCTCCTCTTGGTCCCCCTTATCTCCTGGTCCTCCCAGCTGTCATCCTCCTGTCTGGGCAACCCTACGTGTTTCCCACAGCTATTCCCAAGAGGAAAGATCCTAATTAGACTTTAGAGTTCAGAGCAACTGAGTGAAATGTAATGGGATTGACAACATGGGAAATTATATGCAAAGAGAGAGAGAGAGAGAGAGAGAGACAGAGAGAGCACGCAAGAGAGAAGTTGTAAGATCAACTAACCAGAAGGATTTAAGCACAGAGCACAACCAATCAAGTCAATCCACAAAGGAAAGGGACGACTAGCAACTGTCTGCAGCTCGCCTTCAGTCCTGGCCAGGAGCGCTCCCCAGGTCCACTACGGCCACAAAGAGGTTTCCACAGGCAGTCCCTACAGAGCAGACATCACCCTCTGCAAACAACCCTGGCGTGTCAGTCCCACCCTTGCCGTTTCCTGCCTCCAGGGAGCTGGCGTTGGTCCTCACTCTCCTTCCTGGAGCTGTAGCACTTCCCCATCCTTGTTCTTGCTGCCCTTGTGCTTGAACGATCCTGTGCCTGTCTCTAATCCCACGGAGGGGGCTCCCCCCATGGTGCTGTGGGGGATGTAACACACTGGCAAAATGGGGGGCCGCAGGGGGATTACAACGCCAGCAAGGTGGGAGAGTTCAAGGAATCTGAGGACTGGTCCCCACTGCTGCTGCTCCTCCGGTGAGCTTTGGAGCAGGACTCAGAAGGGGAGAGAGGAGACTCCTGATCCAACACGTTAGGGTAGGTGAACACCAAATTGGAAGAGCCAGGAGTGATGGCTGGTGTTGAGGTCACCACAATGGGAGTGTTGAGTGCCTCCTCCCCATAAAAACCTCCAGCAATGCTGATGGGCTTAATGACAGACCTCTGGGCTTTGTCAAGGACCAAAGAGGAAGACGGGATCTCTTCCTCCACAGGCTCCTGCTTCACCACCACCGCTCCACTTGCTCCAGTCCGAATGCTCTGGAGGCTGCTGGATGGTGGGCTACGACGTTCCTCGGGGCTGATTTTGCACACAGGGCTGTGAGCCACCAGCATAAACTCCAGCTTCTCCTTCTCCTTCTGGAGCTCAGCGATCTCCTTTTGCAGCACTGACTTCTCCTCCTCCAGTACTTCAGTTTCCTGCAGACAAAAGGGGAATAAATAAATAAAATAGCAAAGGCTCTGGAACTACTCCTCACCTAGAACAGGGCCACCAAGTCCAGATCCCATCTGGCACAGGCAGATACACCCCAGACTCTTCATGAGCCAAGCAGACACCAGATCATTGCCAGTCAAGCATCTTGTTCTTCACGTGCCTATTTGTAGGCTATTCCCAAACATCACCAATCTAAGTGTTATAAAGAACCTTGTGAACTTGCCTTAATTTTCTGATGGCTAGTTTTTGCACCTCTGTCTTGGCCTACAACTTCAGTCTTCTCCCTTGCTCTATATCTGACAGACACTTTAGCAGAGGATCCAAAACTCCTCCCATTGTTTTTTCATGTTAGGCTAGTAATATTCTTTTCACTTTGACAGAGGTAGTGTATAGCAGTCTCTCAACTGTTTCCATTTTATTTCTGTAGTGCATATTTCAGATTAGGTCTGACACTTGTCTAACTCTTGCCCAAAGGACCAACACTGGATCACCCCCTGATGCATCCTATGATTAATACATTTATCCTTCCCGTGGTCTCATCACGCAGATGGATCACAGTCAGTCTGGGAGCAGTTAGTACCTTCTCATGCAAGGAGCTCGTAGCTTCACAAAACTCACACTCGGCCCTTCAGGATATGACTTCCCATTTTGCACACTCCTCTCACTTCTATCACTTTAGTCATGACATTTCCCCTCCACTGAAAATACCTCCTAATTTGAGGCAGCAGCACATTTCACAGGTGTGCTTTCACTGCTGCTGTGCTTGTTAACAAGACCATTGGATAAAACCAGGCTGGTTCTTGACCAGAAGCACTGGAGCCTTTCCTTCAGCTTATTTCACACACAACCCAATCTTGTCTTCTCTTCAACCAGTACCTTACCCACCCCTTGGTTCTTATGCTCAGCTCTACCTTCTCCAGCTTTACTAATTATTACTCGTACAGCATCAGAGCACACATCTCTGTGGTGCTTCCTTTTTGAAGGAAGTCAGTTACTACCCCACCTCCAAAGGAGGAGTAAGCCTAAAGGGTATATCTCTGACAGGTACCCATAACATCTCCCTTGTTTTCTACAGCTTTCAGGTGATCCTACCTCTTCAGTGTTTTTGTCCTTAAAACCTGCCTTTGAGGCACACAGTGCCTTTCCACTTATGAAAGGTGACCAGAGTCAGGGAGACTTGTGCTAGTTGAGAGGAAGGGAAGCTAGAAGGGAAGAGACCTTCTACGACATTTTGGGCACTCAGCAAAGAGAATTTTAGGGTCCTAAACTCCAGGGCCAAGTCCCCCTCATCAGCAGCTGTTGAGGTAGGAGCAGTACCCTTGGGCAGCCTTGGATGAGGAAGGCAGAGTGTGTTTGAAGCATCTTCCTCGAACACGCTGGTGGAGGAACAACAATGCCCTTGGAGCTGGTTGGAAAGGGTGGACGACAAGGAAGGAGAAATGCATGCAGGGCACGTACCGCCTGGAGTTTCTCTGTTAGCTCTCGACGCCTGTTACGACACTTAGCAGCTGCCAGCTTGTTCCTCTCTCTCCGGATCCTTCGCTTCTCTTCTTCCTCAGGCGACAGCTGTGGGCAAGTGCCAAGAAAATCCAATCAGATCTGAGCAAAGCATTCCTTTAAGTTTGTGAGGATTTAAACCACAATGCAAAGGAAAAAAGCCTGATCCAGCAGGATGCTGAGCACTCCCCCTCGTCACTGATGTCAGCAGAAGATGAAAGCACACAGTATCTCTGCCTGCACCAGGTCTTAGCAGAAGGGAGAGGAGAAGGAGCAGAGCACAGGGAGAAGATTGTGTAAGAGGACAGTGAATCTGCACCAAGGCCAAACAGATAAAAGATGCTCTGATTGTTTCACAACTTGGGTGGTACGTTAAGCAAAACCAGAGCAAGATGTTGTAAGTGCCTCTTTCTTGAAAGAAAATATCTGCTGCTTCCCACACAAAAATAGTTGTTCTCTTGAAGGTCGGGATGGTGTACAGGGGGAGACAGGGAAATCAGCAGAGCTCCCATGAAGTCCATGAAGCAACAATGATTTATACCACCCAAAAATCTGACCTCAGATTTTTGAGCACTCAGCGAGATAACACACTGCTTCTTGCATCAGCAGGCAAGGTTCCAGTGATATCAAGGGCTTCCTGAGGCCAGCTGACATCCTCACTGATGTAAATCAGGAGCAATTCCATAGGAACCCATCCAGCTACACTCTTGCGAAACCAGAGGAAGCGAGCTCCCAAGACCTGGTCAAAGCTATGCCTAGTTTTGGGGGTCTGAGACAGGTTTTACAAACCCCAGCAGCAGCAGATAGGTTTGTGCCACGGCCTAAGCCAAGGAGCAGTACAGCAGGGCACAGAGCAGGTGGACACGACTCTGCTCTTCACTGTGGCACCCAGCGTGCAGGAGCCGTGCAGACAGCCCAGTGAGCGGATACAACAGGATCCATGCAGACAGAGCAGCACGGGGATCCGGCAGGATCCATGCAGACAGAGCAGCACGGGGATCCGGCAGGATCCACGCAGACAGAGCAGCACGGGGATCCGGCAGGATCCACGCAGACAGAGCAGCACGGGGATCCAGGGCACGTGCCCAGCCCTTCACTCCAACCTTGTGCCCTAGGCTTCAGCCTCACCCAGTCTGTGTGTGCTGCAGGGACTCTGGCCTGGTGACTGTAAATGAAAGCAAAACCCTGACACCTGGCAAAGCCCATGTCAGATCTCACAGAGTGCCTGCACAGAATGGTAAGAAACACCTCTTCAGAGAAGCCCCAGTTTTAATATTGTCACGGACTGTCAATATCACAAATGAGCCATTCACGGTTTTACTATCTTTTCTTTTTAGTGTTAGTTTTACTCCAACTTCAGCCTAGTTTATTTTGGCTTGCTCTATCTCCCTAATGTTGATGTTTGCAGTTTCAGTAAGTTAACTTCAGCCTCTGGGCATTCAGCTCACTCATTTCTGCTTTTTTCAGGATCTGATCTGTGCCTGTGATTTCACCTGCATGTAACACGAGCCCCTGGATGCTCACTGAGCAACACAAGCAATTCTAGAACAGCAGGACACAGAATTTAGGCCCAAAATCTTTTTCCATCAGTAGCTCATGATGTCCATCCTAGGGTGGGGGTCTACCTCTATTCTTCTGGGCAGCGTATTTCCCCCAGTAAGGAGCCCCTGCAGGCACTGCTCTCCCTGCTACAGCTCTGCCCACTCTCTTCCCACCTCATACGAGTGCAGGGTAAAAATGTATTTGCACACAAGTATCTACAGTATGGCAAAGCACTGAGCATGCACACAGAAGCTATGCTGACTTGGGGCCCCTGAATAGAGTTTTTGAGAGCCTTTTTGTGCTTTGGAAGCACAGACCTCATTGAAATATGTCTGGAGTAAAATTTCTGCTCCAAAGGCCTTCAGTAATTTAAAAATTATCTGTTTCAAAGACTGCTTTGCAAAAATTGCAGAGACAGGGCAGAAGCCCCTAATCTGGATGTTCTTAACATTTTACCAGGTCTAAAAAGGAATATTCCATCAGTGGTTGCTGGATTTGTTTGAAAGTGGTTGGATTTGGCACTCTTTGTGCCCCTGCTGTACGCGTTATTCGTAGCTTGTCCAAGCCCAATACGTGCATTCACTGTTGGGAACGTTCATCAAAACAGGCTCTTTTCATAAAGTGTTACACAAGGTTTTCCAAAAAGGCACTCCGATGAGGCGTTCAAAGCACCAGCCGTGGAAGCCTGAGCCAAAGGGCCACAGTAAAGAGCCCGGGTACTGCCTTAGCACGTGTCTAATCAAAAGGACTTGGCTTTGAATGACCCACAATGAACGGCTTGCAAACAAGCCACAGGCCAGGAATTGCTTGGCAGGCATCCTTCAGCAAATAACTCTGAACAACAAATAAAGCAGAGAATATGGTGATCTCTTCACGGCCAATTTGTGAACACAGAGGCAGCATTTGTCAAACAAATTAGTTGTTGCTAATTATTCCTCCAGCTCTGTGAGACTTTCTTTGCCTTTGGACACCAGCCCTGCATGCAGGGAACAGGGAAGTAGCTCCAGCTGGTGGAAAAGGCTGGCACGTACCCGAACCACCACAGCTACTCCATCCTTCCTCCCAAAAATGGGTCCTCACTGCAGCCCCACACAGAGGTACTGCTAAACTCTATCTTTAACCTCTTGGGTCTAAACCAGATAGCAACTCCACACAAAATAATTGGACTGTGAATCAAAACAGATGACGTAGAAGTAAAAGTAGGGCTGGTGAGTCTTATTAGAAACAGACCTCACGCAACAGCATGCGCTCGTGTCTGGAGGGTGCACAGCGTGTCTCACTGCACTGCTCTGCAGCAACCCACACAAATGCTGCTTGGGAACAACTTGGGGAGATCGAGTTCAGTCAGATCTAGTTTTTTTGTTAAAAGAGAAATCAGCCTAGCACTGTGCATAGTTGTTCACCAGACAGCCCTGGAGAAGGCTGATTCTTACTAAGAGGAGAACAACAGTGCTGATTTCCAGAAGATAAGATGCCTGCATATAGTCCACCAGATCCAGGGTTCCAGTTTGATAATCCCATTAGGAGGTTGAGCACAGGGCAGCAGTGGTACAAGCCACCTCATGCCAGTTAGAAAACAACCTCTGGGTTTGGAGCAGAAAAATCTCTTATGGGATCCCCACCAAACTGCTGCAAAAAGATCAAGCAATTACAGTTTTATAGTGGGAAGGTGGGTTTAGACCCCAGTCCTCCAGAAGGCTCTTCATACTAGAGTTGAGGTGCTCTAGGGAAGCTGTTCCTCCCTGCATGCTGCAGGCTGCTACTAGGGGTATCACACAAATGAAGACTGGAGCAGTGCTAGCAGCTACAGAGCTGACAGAAAACACTAGCTGATGTAATTTGGTGTCAGATTTGTAAAGGACCTAACATGAAAGCTGCTCTGCTTTCTTGGAGGTTTCCTTCTGCCTAGAGTGGCAGAGACACTCAAACTGAAACCCAGGGCTCAACTTCAGAGTTTCACCTGCTTTTGAAACCAAGCCGCAATGCGGGCTGGTGGTGTGAAGTGTTGGATAAAGGCTGGGTAAATCTCACCATATGATGAGGAGGCAGCAATAAAAGTCACCCTCCAGCTTACACCCTACGCCACCCTAAGAAGCCCCAGCACGTGAACAGCACCAGGGATGGACCTCAGTGCTCCCCTGTGGTGCTGGGAGATCTCATGGTGGGGGGTGAGGGGGGGAAAATCTCTGTACATCTGTTTTCAAGGCACTCCCAGCTGCTCTCCCCACTGCAGTTACCTGCTCATCTCTCCGTCTCCGTCCCACTGTAGTCCCGATGGTTTTGATGACGCCGGGACGCTGGAGAGCCGTGTGTCCGGCCACTGAGGACAGCGGGGGCAGCGGGTGGCTGTAGGGGTGTGAACGCGAGTAAGGGCTCGACATGGAGGTGATGACGGTGGGCTGGACCATCCACTGCAGGTCTTGGCTGGTTGTGATGGCGTTGATCGTAGGGATAAAAGCACTGCCTGATCCTGGCATATCTACTCGAAATTTCTAGGAAGAAAGACAAAGGAGAAGAGGGACAGAGAGCAGAGAAGAAACCGTCAATGAGAGCAGAACATAAGTGGTTATTCCAAAACCAGCTAGGCCCTCAGGAGTGGCACCAGTGAGGATCAAAGCGGCACCTGAAGCAAGAACACCAGTAGCTGGTGCTGCTGCCCCTGCCTGCCACAGCCCTGAGGAAGGCACTGGGCTCAGGCACTTCCCCTCCAGAGCAGCCCTGCCCTCTCCCAACCCCTTTCCTCTTCCCCCACACAGTTCCCCAGCACACCCTAACCAAACCTTCCCTCCCAGGCACCCTCCCCACTGCTGCCACCTCCTGCCAGTGCCCACCACTCCTTCCGGCATGGAGCAAAAGGGGAATTAAGGAGTTTCTAGAGAAACACTTCTCTTCGAGCCCAAAGAAAAGGAAGAGAAACTTCAGTTCTGAAATGCCATTACCAAGCAGAGCAAATTTTCCTTTCACCAAAGGATAGCCCTGAAATTTGGGCTTGGTCCACATAGGGCTTGGTATGGCAAGAATAGCAGTCTGCTTCTCCTTCAGTAGCTCTGTGCTCACTGAGAAACCCAGCCCTGAGATGGTTACGTGCGAGGATATGTATTTTAATAGCAGCCTATAAAGTAGGTCTTAGGACTCAGATCGGACAAGTTCCCTGCAGCTCTCTGCACTGTCTAGACAAAACAAGGCAGCAGTAAAACCAAGGCAGCAGGTAATGATCGCCTCCAAAATACATGTACACCTTCTTTCAGACAGAGCTAAATCCATCTGGATAATATGCTGGCACTAAATTGCAAGGAAAACAATCGCTTGTCCCCGGGGGGTGAAGCAGGAGAGAAAGAATGTTTTTGTCTATGCTGAGCTCCTTCAGGAGGCTTTCAATGGTTAGACTGGAATTAACTCGCAGACAGGCCTTGCTCCAGCAATCACTGAGCAAGGGACAGGGCTTGTAGGACCCACAGCTGTCACCAACACAGGTCTGTAAGCCTTGAAATGACTCTATGAAAAATGCACATTCTTGGGTCAACAACCTAGCTTTCCAGAGAAGCGAGAGCCCTTGCATCAGCCTGACCTCAGCTCAGGTAAGCGTCCCAGATAAGGGACACCAACACAGATTTCCTTTTCAGGGTGTGCCTAGTCAAGCACCTTAAGAGCTTTGTTAAACCAAGGCTACTGCAAATAGTATTTCACATGCTGATAGCTACAGCACTTCAGGCCAGCATTAGCGAGCTGCCAACATCTGTGAAGACCAGGAGAGCCAGTCTGAATACTGAGAGCTGCTGACTTACACCTCTGAACAGCTCAAAATCGAGCAAGGAAGGATGAGAGAAGGAAGGAGTGAGTCAAGTTAAGCAGGCGGGGAAATTACACAGAGAGAATGACACTGGTACTAAGACCTTGGCAAAACCCCCAACAGCACCTCAGAGATTCACTTGGAGCTTGAGTCCAACACAGCCTCAGCTCATCTCACATTTCAGAGTCCATGTCACCTCCCTCAATTAGTTAAAGAGGCTCCAAGCCACAAACTGTCAACGCTGCATGAGAATTTATGGGTGCAAATCCCCTCCTTTGCTCTGCATGGTGTAGGCTGTGACCACACGGTACAGAAGAGGATGCATTGGTGCCTCCATAACCAGAACACAAGAGGACCTCAACCTCACAGAAGGGAGGAAGTGTGAGACCAGTTGAACCACGAGCTCAACTCAAGGGATGTGAGCCCTACTTCCAGATCAACAAGTGGGTTCTACCATGACCATTACCTATCTGTGCCACCACCCTCCCTTTCATATCCAAAAACCAGAGAAGAAAGGTCCTGTCTTCCCTGCAGGGACACTACAAAGCTATGACTGCAAAACATCCACAGAGCTTCTGGTGCTTTGCCATAGGGACACCACTGGCATTCCAGTGCTAACCTTTGCCTACAACACCCAATAACATGCTAAAAACTCCCAATAGAGATTGTGAAAGTCAGTTCCACCACTAAATCAACCACATAAAAAATCAGCATCTGACAAAAATCAGGCTTCTAGTATCGACCAAGCAAATACTCAATTTCTAATCACACCTGTATTCAACCTAGGACCCTTCTATAACACTAATAGAGGTCTCCTGGACAGCAAATGGGAGTTGTTCAGTTCAGGCACATTCCTCTGCAGCTCCACAATTGCTTGCTCGCAGACCTGGGGGGAAGAGATCAGTACCTCTCTGTGCCATGCCCCATCTCTGTCACCAACTTCCCTTCTAATAACTCAAAATATTTTAGAAATAAAAAAAAAAATCCTGCAAACCTGTATTCTGTACTTTCCAATGGCAGTATTTTTCCTGGATAACTAATTAAGGGACACACTGCTGTGGCAGGCTGAGTCTTCAGAGACAGTGTGCTCAGTCTAACACCAGGTTTTACAAGCATTGCTTCCTGACTGATCAGGCTTTCCCCACATACCTCGCTTTTCTTGCTAGGACGCTGCACCAGATCAGCTCTGCTGTGCCAAAATGCTGCTGGGCACCACATTCTGCCCAGTGGCCATCAGCTCTAACCCCTGGGATGCTGCTGGCTGCAGTGGCAGGTCCTGAATTCCCTGTCACCTCCCCTGCACAGCTCCTTTGAGCACCAGCTTCCTCACATAGAAGTGCCAGAACTTTCCCCCCAAACTACAGCCCCATCTTTGCTCTCCTCATCCCTCTTCCTCTCAGACAGCTTCAATGCCCCTGCCAGCCTGACAGCACTTCCCACCCTCACCCACCTCCCCACTTCTCTTTCCAGACCCCCTCCTGCCTTTTCCTCTCTCAGGACATGCACAGCTCTCCTCTCCTGACCCATGAGAGGCTCCTGGAAGCAGCTCTCCGCCAGCTTTCAGTTCTTCCTCTCTACAAGGAATTCAGTGCTCTACAGAAAGATGAGGCGATAGGCAGATTGCAGGGCTACACACGCAGCACGCGCTCAGCCACGAACCCACCGCTCTCCTCCTGACCCAAGCAAACGCAGATGAAGGTATCATTAAAAAACCCCAACAACTAAACAGCAAACAGAAAGAGTCCTGTTATCAAGTGTGCCAAGGACTGAGGTCAGTCTCTGCTCTGCCTTAAAAATATGGGGTTGGATGAGAGCCTTCTCAGATCCACAGTCAGGGGAGGCTCCAGCGAGTCCTGCCACAAGCAGGAACAGACTACGTTAGCAGCTCACAACTTAGCAGCACAGACAGCACGGGGACATTTCAAGCTTTGGCTTTGTGTTTCCTTTCTCCACCTTAAGGTTTCTATAAAGCACCCCACTGTGTTCTTTGGTCCACTCTGGACCTTCACTGACATCTGTAACTAAGTGCTGAGCAGCACTAGAAACCAGTCGAGAAATCGGTATAATGGCTGGGGACGAAAAAAAAGAAACCCAACAACAAAGCGACTGAGAAAAATCCTAGAGCATCTTGAACATTACTCAGTTATCAAATATAGGGCATATGTGATAGATCTTACAATAAATACAAGACCCTTGATGGCTCTCCTATGTTGAACATCTCCTCGAAGGAAAACTGGACATAATGCTGTAATAGGGGAAGCTTGACCACTCGGAAAGAGTACACAAACTCTTCCCATTAAAGTTTATGTTTACCACATGGCAAGTCAGTGATTAGGAAAATAGCACGACATGCAACTTAAAAGAAAAATGTTCCAGTGCTCTGCTGTATGGGAAAAAATAATTAAAAAGCATCAAAGTTTTGGCTCAGAGACACAGTTTCCACTTAAACATGTGACTGATGCATCTTTTCTTGCTTTTGGGGAAAAAAAAAAAAAAAGAATACAATAAAGAAAAAATTTCAGCAATGCATATTTTCTGTAGTGATAAAACTGCAGATCTCCATAGACCAGAATCAGCAGAACAGTCCAACTGCTACGGTAAAGGCAACACTTACATTTGATCCTAATCTACAACATCTGTAAGGATCAAGGGAAAGACAGAGCACAAGGCCTTGAGAAATCTCCCGGATTCTTAAAGAAAACATTTATATTCTCACTAAGCCAACGTCCTGCTCAAAGCCCTGTTTCAGATAGTAACCCTGGAAACTGGGCTCTGATCCCCGTATCAGACGACACGCACACCAGCTGCCTGGGGAAGACGTGGAGCCCCAGAAAAGGGGGAAAACCCAGTTATTGCACAGACTGTGACAGCTCAGATGTGAAGCAGTGACGGAGTTTCTCGACCTCCTGCAGCAAGTGCTTGAATCCAGAGCAGCTGTTAAATCACAGCAGGAAAGGGAGAGTGAGAATTTGCAGTTTGCCGGGCGTTTCCAGCTTCTCGGCCCCCTTTCCCGCTCCCCCACCCTGTCCCATCGTTTACTGTAAAGCAGGGAATAAGCTTTATCAGAGCTAGAATCCCTGGAAACCCCAGTCCGCAGCCCGCAGAGGGCACCAGCGAGATGCGTTTGGAGCAGGCGGGGAGCGGCAGCGAGTCATTTCTGGTAAAACTTCTTTAATGTGAGGAATGTCACGGGCTGGTACGGCTGGCAGAGTTTAAGACTGGACTTTTTTCCTTTTTAAATTTATCTTTTAATTATCCTATGACTCCTTGATGCGAAGGCTACACTGTGCTCACACTGCCAGTTCGCCCATACAAGCCACACAAGAAATAATATTGTGAGAAAAAGGGTGAGAAGCCCAACTCTGAAAAGGCAAAAAAAGAGTGAAGCTGGGCCAGCTGATGTAAACAAGTTATGAAATAACCCAGGTTTGTATAACTGGCCCGATTGTGTAATGCCTTCCCCAGAAGTGGTAGATTTAGTCGATCTAGGCATATAAGTCATTTCGAAGTATTTTCTTAGGAAAATGAAAGGGGAAAAAACCCAAACCACAAGACTGGGCTTTCAGGTCCGTGAATTCACGCCGCTTCCACAGGAAATATTCCCCATTCTCGAAGCGCCGCCCGGTAGTGGGGCTTGAGTGGGGAGCGGGGCCGGGGAGCGCGGGGAACGCTCCGGCGAGCCCCAGGAAACTCCCGCTTGGAAAAAGGCACGGCCGGCCGGGGAGCGGCCGGCGGAACCAAGGAGCGGGCGGGCAGGGGGCTGAGCACAGCGGCACGCCGCCGGCCCCGGGGTGCCAGCGTGGGCCCCGTGGCAAAGGCAAAGACAGTGTCAGCGCCTCGGAAACAAAGTTTAACGGGGGAGAATAGGGCAGACAATCGCAGGCGCTGGAAAGACCTAGAGCCCACTTCCAGCCATCCCGCCGTGTTCCACAGCGGCTGCGACAGCTCCGTGAATAACTCGGGCGGCACCTCCCAAAGTCCCAGCGAAGCCGCCCAAAGTGCTGCGGGCGAGCCCCGGGCACCACCCGGGCAGGCGCGATGAACGTGGACAGCGAGAAGCTCCCAATGAGAACAAAAGCAGGAAGGAGGAAGAGTTCGGTGCGCCCCTATATTCGCGTTACCGACCTCGCAGAGAAGTCGCCCGTAGGAGCCCTTTGATTGCCGAGCGGGTCCCGGCCCGGCGCTGCGGCGGGTGCCCGGCGAACAGGCGGGGGCTCGACACCCGGCGACCCCGCTCCACCTGGGGCCGGGCCAGCGGAGACTGTCCGCCGGGCGCTCCCTCACCGCACGTCCCCGCTCGGGGCAGGCCGTGCCTCTCACAACACCCCCGGCCCGACAGGCGGGGAACTCCGGTCAGCGTCCCTCCGGACGCGTCGCGACACCCGCTCCGGGGCGGGCGGACAGGGAGGGAAGGAAAACGGCGGCGCCCCGCTAAGGGCGGCGGGACGGAGCGGCGGCTGCGGACAGCCCCGCGCCCCGGCACCGCCTGCGCCCCCGCGACCGGCGCCTCTCCGCCGGGCGCCCGTGCCTCCACCGCGGAGGAAGCGCCGGCCGCTCCCCGGGCGTGGCGGTGAACTCCCGTCCCGGGAGCGCTCGGAGCAGCCCCCGGAGGGACCGGAGGAGAGGGGCAGCGCCTGGCCCTACCTGCTGGGCTGCGCCGCTCGAGTAGGTCTCGGGGTGTCCCGGGGAGCCGCTGCTGCCTCTGGAGGAGGTGTCGAAGTTCCCGGGGTAGTCCTGGTACATGGTCCGAGGTCGGGCCGGGGGAGCCGCGTCCCCGCCTTCCCACACCGACACCCGCCGCTCCCTCGTCGTCTCCCCGCCCCCTTCTCCCTCCCGACCTCTTCGGCTTTTGCCTTTCGCCTCCCAGCGCTCGCCGCGGAGAGGGGAAAAAAATAATAAAAATGGCTTTGGAGACGAGGAAGAAAGCGGGGAGAAAAAGGTAAAAAAAAAAAAAAAAAATAAAAAAGGAAAAAAATTAAAAATAAAGAGATAACAAAAATAAAAACAACGATGATAAAAGTGGCTCAGTTGGCAGCCGAGCGCCTGCGGGACGGGACGGGACGGCAGGGCTCGGCGGCGCGGCGGGAGCAGAGCCGTGCGCGCAAGCGGGCGCTTGCCGATGTCCTCTCTCCGCGCTGCCCGGCGAAACTCGCCCCGCCGGCGGAGCGGCTCCGGGCCCGGGGGCTGCAGGCGGAGCGGATCTCCTCCGCCCCCCCAACCTCCTCCTCCACCACCACCACACACCGGCCGCCCCTTTTCCCCGCGCGGGGTGACTCAGCCGGGTCTTGCGCCCCGCGGCTCGGCGGCGCTGCGAGCGGGAGCTCCGCGCGCCCGCGGTGACTCAGAGCAATGGCATCGCCCCGGCCGCGCTCGCTTATTATCCGCCCGCCGCCGCCGCCGCACCATGTGCACTCGCACACGTCAAACCCGCGGCGCACCGGCCCCACCTTGGCAGCGCGGAGCCTCCCACCTGCCGCGGCGACGGGGGAGGCGGGACGGCCACGGGGGGACGGCTCCCGCCTCCGCAGCGCGGCGCCCTGTTCCCGGCAGGCCCCGCCTCCCCCCGCCCCGCTTGGTGCCGTCCGCTGTCGCACGTTGCCAAAAATGGTCATTTGCGTCGCACGACGCGAGCGCGGGTTTCCTTGCCGCGGATGACGCGCTGCGAGAGGGATTCCCTGCCCGGCCGCCGGGATTTAAAGGGACAGGCGCACCGCTGGCACGGGGGAGCGCGGGGGCTGCGGGAAACAGCGCACATCTGGCCCCACAGACCGGCCTGCCCCGCCACGGTGTCTCGGGGGGCGTTGGATCCACTCCTTCTCCCTGCAGGAGGGTGGTCGGCACCAGGGTTGCCCCAGGGTTCGGTCCGTTTTTCAGCACATCAATAAACCAAGCGTTGGACTCGTCTAGATTTTATAACATTGTTAAATCAGTTTTTATTTTTATTTATTTTATTTTTATTATTTTATATTTCTTTTATTTTATATTTTGGTGGTTATTACTTCTATAATTTCAATTTATTTTCATTAACTACATTTTTCTTTTATTTACTAATATTGTGTGCTATTATATTTTGATTTCTTTTTAATTTTGAAATATTTTCCTATTTCTTTTTCATGTAAATTTTTATTATTTTAATTCTTATTCAAATTTGATAACTATTCTTACTTTCCCCCCCCCCTTATTTTAATTTTTAATTATTTAATCTTTACATTTATTTTTACTTTTAAAGTGGATTCCTCCATCTTCCTAGGATTTGCAGAGCCACTCTAGGTCTCCAAACCAGAGAACAGGAACATCAGGTGACAGCCCTGGGCTTCCCTGCAGCAGGAACTCGTGGGACAAGGACTGTACCAGCCTGCCGCGGGTGGCTCTGGCTTTGCCAGGTCACTGACTAGCACAGGCTGGAAGGTGGCAGAAGCAGATAGAGCAGAGCCATGCACACGGAGAACGCGGGCTCTGAGATGATCTGCAGCGAATACAGCAGTGATGCTACTTCACAGATTGTTTCAATGCCGCTCCTAGACACGAAGTGTCTCGTTTCCACCCTCCCTGGAGGACTTGCCCAGCGCTGGGCAAGTCCTTTTTGCTGGTAGGGAGGGAAAAGTCATCTAAGTTCAAGCTATAAAATCCCATTTAAGCTGTCTCACGGACAAAGTATTTTCCCACAGGAGCCCATCTGAAAGCAGCGGGCTTTCCTCCCCTCACACTGTGCTCCTTGGAAGGCAGAAGCAGCACCCATCTCAACCCTGGAGCCTTCGGGGAACTCTGAAATGAGGCACCCCGTGGGGGCTAAGTCTTCAGAATTCGGTTATTTTTTAGCACTGACCCAGGAATTTGGTCAGTTCCTGCCGATGCAGTTTAGTTTTCAGCACCTTCATTATTCACGCAATTGAAATTCTCCCTCCAAATTAGCCGCCCTATTTCAGGCAGCACCTGACTTTGGGGGAGGTGGGGAAAGGGTTGTAAAAATATACCCATGTTTCCAACTCGAACTGCACTAGGAGTGAGGAGTGGGAGGGGGAGAGGTGCTCTAGCAGGCACAGTGAGGCCGTGATGTGTTTTTCCCTTTGGGTGGCAGGTGATCAGCACATGCTGCTTTCTGCTGGAAAGAGAATTAGTTCAAGATGTGAGAGGAATCAGGCTGCAGCTGTCAAGAAATGAAGAGAGAAAGGGTAAAACAAGCATCAAAATAAATAAACTTAACAAAAGCTGTGGCTGGATTTTGGCCGGTCACCACCCTCTGCTCTGCCTCCCCCTCAGGTGAAGGATGCCTCTGGCTCCGAGGCTTACCAGATGTTAGGAACCACTGCCATCACCTGAGCTCATCCACCCTGGCTCTGGTCCTGTTTCACATCAGGCTGGTGGGCTTGTAGAATCCAGTCTGCTGAGCAGCAAGAAAAATGCAAAAAAGTATTTGGTGTAGGGAAAGAGTGACGGCCAGAAACAGAGAAGCAAGATGGGGGTGCTGGAGCATTAGTGTTGGAGAATTTTGCAAGAGGAAAAGAGAGGTGTTTTTCATCCCTCCTCCTAGAATTGTTTCTATACTTTATCTTCAGCAGTTCATTAACCCTAAACTACCTGCCCTCCTCATGTTTCAGCTCATGCTCATTTTGAATGTTGTTTTCAAACCTTATCCCAACATAATTTTGGCACATCTATCCTGTCCTGCCGAATTTGCATGAGACCTAGTATGGGAACAGCTAATTTGAAATTACATTTGAGGGCTGTTTTAATATTTGGCTGCAGCTAATGTGGATGCAATTAGTTGACACTTGTAAATCCTCAGGTTAAAAACCCTGTAAGAAATGCAGGAAGCTGAACGCACACCTGAGGCCAAGCCCTCAGCTCCTGTAGGGTGATGAACCTCCCTGCCACAGCTGGACCGGCACCACCTTGCCCTCCGAAAGCTCCTGACCCACACCCATCAGATGTGATGCGGAAGCTTTACTGTGTATTTACATTGACTTCACTGGAGTTCCTTTTGCCCTGGGAGCACAAAACCCTGCTGGCTAAGACAGGCTCAAACGTACAAAAGGGATTGGTACATCCCATTGGGAAAAAATATTCCGTCCGATTGAGTCTCCTCATTCCCATATCAGTCCCTTTGTAATACTTCTTATTGTTTTGGATTGAAGGAACTCAGACTAGCCTGGCTCTCAGTACCCCAGACACATGCATTTTTAATACTCATCCAGACCAAGCTGCATTGTGCAATAGGCTCCCTGCTTCCAAAAAACAAGAGATAACATGTACGCCTGCCTAGTCCATTCTTGCCTGAACCAAAGACAAATTAAGACCAGCCCAGGTTCCAGGGCAGGAGAGGATCATTGTAAGGCAAATGAGACTTTGGCTCCTAATGCTTCTCGATTTCGGCAGCAATTAGGAGCCTGAAACCCAGACCTGAGAATGCTTTTCACGGTGTTTTTACGGGAACAGTGGATAAGGGCACTTCGCAGCAGCTTAGACTTGGCCCTCGGCAAGCACGTGGCAGAGTCGGCCGTAGGCAGCTCTTCTCCAGCATCCCCAGCAGTGCTGGGCTACACCAGCCACACCGTGCCACCTGCCTGAAGGCAAGATCATTGATTTTCAGTTTAAAATATTTGCAGCCATGATTCTCCTTCTCCTTGCTCTTCTTGACATCTCCGGTGAAGAAGCCTGCAGTAATCACCTTAAATGTGTATTGCCACCAGTGTCAGAGAGCTCAGATGTGCTGTGGCTGTTCCTGCAGTGGAGCAGGGAAGCTCCTGGACAAACGGATGGCTGCAGGAAAGGTGAGACTGAAGCACACTGGTAGGGTGTGGGGAGCTGCAGGACAATCTAAGACAAATCATACTCCTCCCCATACAATTCCTCATGTCCTGTTTTAAAATTCACTCCCACCTCCCTGCAAATTGGTGCTTTCTCTGTCACCATTCATTATTACACAAGTGACTCTTTTGTTTCCCGAGACCTCTTCCTTGAACTCTCTGGAGAAGCACATATCCAGGGCTCTCCAGCCCTTCTTGACAATTCTGCTTTCATCTGTGCGTGAAGTCTGCTTTCATATTGTCTCTTTAAGTGCTAAGAGCAAGTGTTTTGATGTTAACTCCTGGGAACGAGCTCTTAAGCTACCACCTCACGCTTAATTACAGTTATTTATTAAGTACTCCAGCATATCCAAGGGAGAAAGGAGGTTTTCTCCTTCAAAGGGCCTCTGGATGTGGTTCCTCAAATACTTTTTGTCAAGCATCGAGCTTTTCCTACCCATGTCCTCTTGGACCATGGAGTCCCCTCCCCTGCTGATAACCCCATGGCATGGGGCCATGGGGCCTCCCTCCAGCAGCACGGTATATCTTTAGGGCAGGGAGGCATTCCCCTCAATTGTTCTCAGCTGAATGCAGCCACACTGGCCCTGTGTTCAAGCATACAGCTGGCTCTGCCCCACATTCCCGGCAGGATGAGTGCTGCCATACTGTTCAGTTCAGGGTAATGACACCAGTGCTGCCACTCTTGCTGCTGCCAGGTGATGTAGTGGACTTCATTTAACTTTTTTTCCAGTGCTGGTGCAAATAAAAACCCAGGACAAAGCCAGAAGCTGTGATGCTCTTCCCTTTTCTGAAGCAGGGCTGGGTGATGCCACGGGCCTGGGATACAGGGGGGGAAGCAGCAAGGCAGTCCTGCAGCCGGATGGGCACTGCTTAGTCAGGCTGGTGGCGTGGCCGTGGTCTGGGAGCAGCAGCCAGATGTCCTGCTGGCTCCCACAGGGTCAGCTCTGCAGACATCCCAGACACCAACA